GTCTTTGTTAGTGGTATTCATTTGGCTAAACTATAACCCTGGTTAAAACCAACCCTCTGGCTAGTATGTATATATTCACACAGCTAAATATGGATAGAGAAAAACATACATCTACATTCACCAATCTCCTTTTAGATCACTAATCTCAAGTGGCTCTTAATGATGCCAACAATCATACTATATTTCCCAAGCTCACACTTTCAGTCTCTCAATCTGACTCTCCACGACCACACTTTAATAACTACAACTGTTTTTTCAAACCTTTATCTTCTCCCCATCCTCATTCTTAGTTCATGTGATAAACAAAAGAGAACTTCCACAAGCTCCTACCATCACATCTACCCACTTACCTGTTTCTGAGTCCAAACACTCTACTTTCTCTTATTACTAAAAATAAACTACCCATGCTCCTCTGTAACAGTACTCCTCTGTCTGCACTTGTGCACTATATCCCATCGACTTTTGCCTACTCGAGAACAATGCTTTAATAATTCTCCCATCTCCTGCATTACTAATGTTTTCTCTATGGATAATTCTCATCAGCATACAAGCATTTATTATTCACTCCATCTTTAAAAAATCTCTCTCCTGACCTTATAGCTCCTTCCAGTTACAACCTTTCTTCTCTCCTCTTCTATAGAGCCAAACTCCTCAAAAAAGCTATTTTCTTTCTGTGTAAAGTATCTCCTCCTATGTGCTCTTAAGATCATTCTATATGCTACATATGACCTAACAAGCTACCAAAACTGCTCTTGTAAAGATCTCCAGTGTCTCCCATATCACCAAATCCAACAGTCAGTTCTCAGTTTTCACATTACTTGATCTAACAGTTGATCACTATTTCTCCCTTGGCACACTTTTTTTACTTATCTTCCAGGACACCAGACACTGTGATTTCCTCCTCCCACTCTTGCTGCACTTTCTCATTGTCTTTTGCTAATTCTTTCTCATGCCACTGACCTTGAAATGCTGCAATGTCCCAGGGTCTCGTTTTTCTACCTGTACTGACTAGCTTGGTGCTATCTTCCAGCTCAGCTTTAAGTATCATCTACACATTGATGACTCCAAGCTAGGCCTTGCACTTGAATTCCAGACACTTATTTAAACTAACTGCCTATTGAGCATATCCACTTCCATGTCAAATAGGCATCTCCAAACATACATG